TCTGTTGTCAGCGTAAAGGATGCGCTCCACTACACTCCGCTTAAAAGGGTGGAGAGGACAACCGCGATACCATGTTCACATCGGACGTCATCCTGGCCTGCCCGCATGGTGCACTTACGCCGACCCCGCCACCACACAGTGCAAGGATTTTCCTTTCCCATGTCCTACACCAGCCGCCGCCACTAGGTACGCCGCTCGGCCTTTACCACAACGGCGTGATTCAAATTTTGAAATTCGAACAGGGATGTCCGTGTGTTTTATTTCGATTTTCGTGGGTCACAGCCAAAATTCAAATTTTCTCGCCTCTGGGAGCTGGACCAGGTTCGTCCACATGGACATGAGCCCACGGACCACCGACCCCGCCGTACCCACCGCCGATAATAATATAATGTGACCGTCTGCAGACCCGCCGTAGGAATCCTCCTCGGGCGACCATCTGGAGGATGAGTGGAATGACGCCGGAAATTCTCTTGGACGACCATGAGGAAAACCCCTCGGGCCGCGAGGACGAGCGGAGGAGTGTCTAACGAGCCCCTTCTTGTCCCCCCCCCCACCCCCTTTATAACTAAAAACAAAGGAAGAATCTCGGTTACATCTGATGTGACTCCCCGTGAGAAACGGGGAGTGGGGAGCATTGCAGTGCCTTCCACAAAAGGAAAAGCACTTTTGGAATGTACATTCCAACACTTGTGGCTCCCTACACATTTATTGGAAGGCAATCACGAGCTTTGCAATGGCAAGTGGAACACCGCTGTCTGCCAACAAATGACTGGCTGATTGACCGAACTTCTTTAGAACAGAAGGGCCTTGCTCTCCCCTGGTGCAAATTATATGTGACATCATACCCTGCTAGGCGGAGACCAGAAACAATCGAACACATCTTCCTGCAATGCCTTGGGTCAGTCTGGTTGTGGAGATGGTGGGACCGAGTATGGCGCCTGTTAGGCGCAACAACCCCTTGGCCATGGAACTGGAAACCAATCCCATGTGAAACATGGCAGCTAGAGCAAGCGAGCAACTTGAAGAGGAACATGTTCACAGTGGGACGAAGAGCAATCTTTTGGGCGATCTGGTGGAAAAGGTGCATCAGGGAGATGGAGGGAGTCCGCCTTGAAGGACCGGCTGTCATAGAGACTATCCAACACCAGATTCAGCTAGACCTTATGTTTCAAGGGGACAAAATAAAGGAAAAATTAGACTTTATACACTCAAAAGTTGAAATCAAAATGCGAATCAAATCCTTCTGTATGGACTGGCTGGGAGGGGAACAAGGAGGTTGGATAGCAAATGTGCAGTGGAAAGGGGGGGACGGAGGGGAGGGAGGGATTGAGGAGAAGTTGGAAAGGGGCTACGGTAACCACCTCCACTTTCATGATTGGACTAGAATAGACCCCTCCATCCCGTTGCGGTCTTCTTCAGACTTCCCTGATCCCTTCCTGCCGGCTGGGAATTCAATGGTCGAGATTCAGTGGTATGCGGGTGCCTAAAATGGATGTAGGATGAAATCATTTCTTCAAACTATCTGTTTTGTTGCTTAGTTACTACCCTGATCTCTAAACCTTTTCATTAGTAAGGGGGGGGGGGGGTAGTGTGTAACAGCAGGGATCTGGCGCCGGTTTCAGGGCGACGAGGTTTCCCCTCTCTCCAATTGCTTGCTCGGTCAATCCCGTGGTTTCCAGGGTAATGGCAGCCTTTGGCAATAACACAATCTTGTTCTGGTTCTTTCAAATTCGAGTTTGTATATGGGACGCTGGACCCATTTTCCAGCAGGTGCTGCTCCCCTCCAACAGATCGAGCCTCTTCCCTGGTGCTAGGGTCTCGTTAGACACTCCTAAAAGTGCCTGTTCTTAGGATTGCGTCTTCGTTGCACGCAATCCTAAATCCAATTTCCAGATCGAAAATGTGAAAACGGCGTTAGGACGATTCCTAAAGGATTTAGGATTCCCCAGGCAAATTTGTCCTAAATTTTCAAGTAGCCCCCGACCCACTGAAAAATTTAGGATTTCCACGTTTCACAGACTCGTTGCGTCGCGCGCATGGCACCGTCGACACGGGTTTGCTGGTCCAGGAGCGGTCCGTCGGGTGGGTGGTCGGACATCGGAGGTTTTTGGCGGGTCGACGCCGGCAACGGCCACCAACGGTAGCCGTTGGCCGACGGGGTGGAGCGCGGGAGGCCGAGCGTGGGCGGGCGGTCGTCCGTAGTGGACCGTTGGCTCGGTTGCGGGTAGCGGAGGACGACGACGACGTGCGAGGGACGACATACGGAGGCGCTTTCGGCAGTCGGCGGCCGGCAATGGTCAATTTTTGAATCGCAGGCAGGCAGCTTTGTCGTCTACTCTGGTGGTTGTCGGCAAATGAAGGTCTTGCGGCCCAATCCACCGGCATACCAGAAGATACTTCTGCACTAGTCGCGTGGAAGGGTGCCTGTCTCCGATTCAATTGATGGCAGACATGCACAGGAGATTGCCTCTGCTAGTGCTCGTTGTGGTCATCTTCCTGTTTGTCGTCTTCCTCCATGTGTGTTTGTCGTGCCAGCCGTGGAAGCAACGTCGCAAGTGGAGGGCATCAACCAAAGAGCGCAAACAGGTAACCGTTGCCCATACCCAACCGTACCCAATTGTAACAGCCAGGTTACGGACGAGTATGGGTACCCCTTCCGAAGGCGGAGTTGGGTATGGGCAGGCACAAACAAAAGGTGGTGGTTGTTAGGTCGGGCACAATTGCCCTTTTTGGAGATCATGGGTGGGTAAGGGCAGGTAGGGGTAGGGGTAAAAAAAACAAAATTGGGTATGGGCGGCCAGGAAAAAAAATAGACGGGTATGGGCAGGTACGGGTGGCCAAAAAAAAAAAAGAGGTGGGTACGGGCGGGTAGAGGTTCCCATCGGGTAGCCGTGGTATACCCGATGTGAGTCTTGTAGCTTTGCAGGCTTTGTATTTTTACTCTAGCGTGATGCTTTTCTCATATTCCAAATTTCTCGCTTTCCCATGAAGCAAACGTTTTTTCTCGCAAGGGTGAATTTTATCGCTTCATTTGTTTATTCTTTGTTTTTCAAATTTTCAGACTAGTTTCATATGTGTGTAACCCTGGGTATGTAATATTTACGTGTGTCTGTGTATGTGTGTGTGTGTTGTGTGTGCATGTGTGTGTGTGAGAGCGTACGTGTGTGGGTTGTTACATTTGCAGATGCTATACAGGTAGCATACGTTGCCGTAGCACCAGATGCATCCATAGCAGCATCAGAGTGACCAGATGTAACATCTGTTGTTGTTGCAGCAGTAGCTGCAACAACTGCGACATCTCAAAAATAGTAAAATAAAACAATAATATTAATAATAATAAAAATTATCACGTGAATCCTGTGATGTCCAAGAGGTTGGGGACAGTTGGCGGCGGTTAAGGACAACGAGGGGCGGTTAAAAAAAGATTAAAAAAAATAGGGGCGGTGAGGGACAGTTAAGGATAGTTAGGGGCAGTTAGGAACAACTCGGGGGGGTTATGGACGGTTAGGGGAGGGTGGGTGACGAGCACGGGTGGTTACGGGTGGGTGCATACAATGATGGGTAGGTACGGGTGGGTACGGGTAAATAAAACTTGGTTAGGTAGGGTATGGGTGGTTAACAAACGGTTTGGGTTCAAGTGACTATTGGTGGTTTTGAAAAAAAATGTTCATGGGTAGGTTTGGCTAGTTACATGTTGACAAGGTTCAAGTAGGGTAGGTCTGGGTATACATTTTTTTTTTTTTTTAGCAGGTGGAGATGGGTAAAAGTCCAGCAAGCCAGGTATACAATGGGTATGGGTGATTGGCTTTCAAAGAGGGTGTGGTTAGGTCAGGTACAAATATTCCTAAAAATCCCAGTTGTGAACTCTGGCATCAACGAAACGGCAGGGAGGGGAACATCCGATGGCGGGCATGCAGGCACGCGCGGTTCTGGCTGCAGGTCAGAGCGGAAGACGACCTGCTACGGCGGAGCCTCGACGGCGGTACGACCCGTCCATGTACACCCATCTAGAGTCGTGGGAGACGCCACTGCCCCCATCGGACGAGGAGCCGGAGACGGAAGAATTTCCAATGTTGCCTCTCGCCAGCGGGTCGACGCAGTTGTTGTCGCAGACGGTGCGAGTAGGCGGGTCGGCTAGCAACGAACGCGGCGAGTTCACCTCACTCCAACAGAAAAATTCCCTCGAGAAATGAAAGTTGAAAAAACATTCTAAAAAAAGAAATTCCTTCATATTTATAGATTATCATTTCAATGTTCGTCCAATTCTAAAATTTCTAGTTTTATTTGATAACTTCCAGTCTAAATACGAGTTTTTCCTTCCAACTACATCATTTGTTCAAGATGGAATGAAAGTCTGGACGAGTTTATGAAATGTTTTAATTAAACTTTCATTCTACTACAACAAATATCTTCTAATTTAAATTGCATTAACTTATTTATGACTGAAAATCTTTACTTAGAATGACAGTCCAATTAAAATATTTCATGAACTCATCTAGACTTTCATTCCATCTCTAGCATGCAGTTCAAATAAGAAGGGATACCCCATACTTGAAATGAAAGTTTTCGAGTAAGAAGGAAAATTTCAAAATTGGAATGACATTTTTTAAGATGGAATGAAATTTTAAACTTTAGAATGTAATTATACTATAGAATGATTATTTAATTTTGGGATTTGTTTCTATTGTCCTGCACCAAGGCTTGGGAGACGACGACGACGGAGGACTTCATCTAAGGTTCGGGTTGTGTTCTAGCGGCGCTAAGGAGGCGAGCCGTACGTTCATCATCAACGCTGATCCTTCGCCACGTGGCCTTCAACATGCTGCAAGTGAGCATACAGAGCAGTCCACACTTCGTGGCAGTGCGTCCGTTACTGGCGGTGTCGGGTCATCGGCAGCAGCACGACAGCATGGATCTACTGCATCATCTACCGATCGATTGACAAGTACCTGGCCCGCGCGCACTGGAGTCGTATCCGGGTCCCTGCGCATCGGCGGTGCACGTCCTTCGATGCCCAACCGCACAACGCTGGCCAAACCCGGCCTGAGGGACGAGGGCGCCCGCATACCACTGGTGCGTCCAGGACCCACTGTGGAGAACATCACACGAAGAGTGTCAAACATGCGGGCACACAGTGATGACGGCGACGACGATGGTGGTGGTGGTGACGATGCCGACGAAGGATTGAGGGAGGACGTGGAAGCAGGGGACGACGAGGACGACATTCCTATTCGTCCTTTGGGGAAGACGGGTGGGAGGGGGAAAGGACGCAATAGAGGTGCTGTTCGTGGTCGATCCGTTGGCCGTGGCGGCAGTGGTGGCGTCAGCAACGATGGCGGGAAGTCTGCGACATACTGGTTTCCGAAAGAGCAAATGCTCCTGGTAAGATGCAAGCGGGAGCAAGAGATGCACCTCGTCGGGCTGGGTCGCAATTGCAGGCGGATGCGGACCAAGGAGTGGAAGTGGGATGACATTGCGAAGCGCATGGCGAACACGGGGAGGCCTAAAGACGTCGACGACTGCATGAAGAAGTGGGACAATCTCTTCCAAAAATACAAGAAGATACAGAGGTTTCAGAATGCCAGCGGCCAGGCAGATTTCTTCAGGCTATCGAATGAAGAAAGGAAGGAGCACAACTTCAAGTCCCGGATGGAGAGGGTGCGGTACAACGAGATCCACGCACGCATGCTGGGGAACCATACAATTTTCCCTCCCAACGTCGTCGACACCGACAGTCCGGACGGGGTGCAGCTGCCCATGCGAGGAGCGGTTGATGGGGAGTCTGTTGGTAGTGAGGCCGGTGGTGACGGTTGCCCTGAAGAACATTCTTCTGCGAGGGACTCCGACAACAACGCAGGCAGTGGGGTTGGAGGCGGGAAGCGGAAGAATGCGCGTCAAAAGGCGTTGGAGTCGATCGCTGATGTCATGCATCGCCATGGCGAATTGATGTCGACGACGATCGATTCGTCTATCAAGCGGCAATGCAGCATATTCACGAGGCAATGCGATATACTCGAGCAAGAAGTTGCAGTCCAAAAAGTGCACTGTGAGGCGTCCGATGAGACGCAGAGGATGATGTGCCACGCGCTTATGGAGATCGCTGCCGCCATCCGTGGTCGGTCGCGGCCGTTCGATCATGTGTTGATTGAAGTCCAGTCATTGGCTTAATTTTTATTTATTTTTTTAGTTCACGGGTTCTTCTATCGAGGAGCACGGTGGTAGACCGCACAGTGTGTGTGTGTGTGT